TGCCCACAGACACATGTATCCATGATGCCAGTTTGACTTCAGAGAGATGGCAGATCATTTTATTAACCTGCCATAAGAATTTGACCTGTAGACTTTGGGTCCATTTTAAATCATTTTTTTTTTCATTTTATGCAATATTTTTTATTTTAGGATCCATATAAACCACCTTAACACCTTCCAGAATTATGTAAAAATCAAACAACAGGACTTCTTCCAGGACTTCAGATAAGGTTCCCAGATCCTCTACAACAAAGAAACAAGAAACCAATTGAAACAGATACAGAGAAAAATCTCGGAACCCCAAGCTCTGAAGAGAAGGATAAAGAAGTGGATTAAATACCAACTAGGAGAAGAATCTGGATGAAGACAGTGAATAAGGAGACAAATGGAGCTGTGGACTGTATTGGTCTGATGGCATGACCATTTTGAATATTTGCAAGTGGTGTTCTGATCATGGCAGGAACCTGATTTGCTTGCTAAGGACTACAAAGGCAACCACACTGATGACTCGTGAGCAGAAAGCAACTGTACCTACATGACCCAACCAAATCCACAGCGCCTGCAGCCCCATCCACCAGGTGAGGGCCATCATCTTCTGCATCAACTGATCAGCTGCCAATATCAGCTCAACTCACTCTCAACTGCTCTATACGAACAGCTAAGCAGAGATGTGCATACATTCTCATCCTCTATACAACTTACCAGGAGATATACGGTGAGTGCCTAAGTGCTGGTAAACTAGTGAACAGAGTAGCACACCAGTCCTGCCTGCTCAGATACTCAAAGCAAAACAAAACAAAAAAACCACTGAGCAAATCACACCAACGTACAATCACCAATTAAAAATAAATACATGACTTCGTAATGTCTCAGAGACAAATGACAATCTCAGTTCACACAAAGCAGCAAGATAAAGTAGTACAAACAAGGGGCCAGAATGCAGAGCCAGAAACCCTCCCTGAAGAGGAAATGGCATTGGAGCTACCTGATAAGGAATTCAAAAGACTTATATTTAGGTATCTTTAATAGCCTGAGAGACAGATCAAGGAAAACACTGACACAACCAATGAGAACACTGACAAAATTGAGGAATACACAGACAAAATTCTAGAAGAAATTAGGGAAACAATACAAGAACAAATTGACAAAATAAACAAAAAATTAGAAATGATACAAAAACAACAAATAGAAACCCAGAAGATTAATACTAAGATTTCAAAAACAAATAAACATTGAATGGGCAAAGGAGTAGAATTGAGTCAATGGAAAACAGAATTAATGGGATTGAAAACAAATACCCCAATATTACTTCGTTAAGGCATTATTTTGGGTACCTCTGTGCTGCTCTAACAGAAAATATCACAAACGAGATGGCCTTACAAACAGGAGTTTATTCTTACAATTTGGAGACTTTAAGTTCAAGTTCCAAGTGCCAGGCTCTAGGGGCTGTGTGAAAGCCCCTTGACCTTGGGCTTCAGCTCTGCCTCTGGCTCCCAGCCCACTGAAGCTAGAGGCATCTCTTCACCCAGGCACCTACTGGCTGCTCAGGCTAAGAAGCCCAAGGTTGACAAATAAAATATCACAGTCCCGATGTTACCAAACCACATGGCAGGGCATTAATTCAAGTCCATTGTAAGTCCCAAGTTTGGCAGAGCATGGAAGGTTGCCAAACAACGACACAGCTACATGCAGGGTTCAAGAGTGCCATAAGCTAGAGACCATTCCCAAAGCTGCTTCTTATATACAGAAAGCAGACCACATACCCAAATAGCTACTCAGTTTCCCAAAGCAGCAACTCTACCATGGAGTTGATTATCAGTCTCATCATGGGGAATAACTACCACTAGATGCCTAGCCACTCAACCAGGCCCAGCCAAGTTGACAAACAAACATAACCACCACAGAGATCAATCAGAAAATAGATCAAAACAAAATGAAGAAAGTCTATGATTCACATGGGATACCATCAAGAGGAATAACTTACATGTAATTGGAATTCAAAAACAGGAAGAGACAAATAAAACCACAGAGAAAATTGTCAAAGATTTGTTGGAAGAGAATTTCCCTAATAAGGTGAAAGAAAGAATACATCCATTCAAGAAGTTGAACAAACCCCAATCAGGATAGCCCCCCCTCCCCGCCAAAAAACAGAGCCAACAGAAATAAAATTAATAATATCAGGATACTATGAAGAACTGTACTCCAACAAATTTGAAAACCTAGAAGAAATGGACAAATTTCTAGAAACACACTACTTACCTAAACTAACACAGACTGAGGTAGAAAATTTGAACAGACCCATAACAGAAGAAGAAATTGAACAGGAAATAAAAAATTACCAACAAA